GCAGTCTGTCGTACTCACTGGTCACTGTGACTCCTCTTACGCTGACGACGCTGAGACTCACAGGTCTACTCAGGGGTACTGTTTCAATCTGGGTTCTGGAGCTGTTTCCTGGCGTTCCACGCGCTCCTCTTCTGTCTCGACCTCTACAGCTGAGGCTGAGTTTTACGCTGGTGCCATGGCGGCACATGAGTTGCGGTGGTTGACCTTCTTGCTCGCCGACCTTGGTGAGCGGCCGAGCTCTGCACCGACCTTGTTCACTGACAACAAGGCGTCGATCCTCCTCTGTCGTGAGCCGCGACTGGAGAGCAGAGTGAAGCACATTCACGTCAGGTACTTTCTTCTACGAGAGTTGCAGAGGCGTGGACAGGCTCGCTTCGAGTTTGTGGAGTCCGAGGCCAACACTGCAGACATCTTCACCAAGGCGCTTCCGCCTCGTGACCACCAGAGGTGTTGTGTGCAGTTAGGCCTTGTTGACACAGGTTCTAGTCATGTGTAGGCTTGAGTTTATTGGCTGCTTCGTCTGTACTCTTGCTATATATACTTGTGATCTCTTGGACTGGCCTTGTGGCCACTGTTGCTTGTGCTCAGAGTGTGTGGTGACGTTGTGATCCACCCTGAGCTTTGTTTTCTTTTGGACTGGTCTTGTGACCGTACTCTTTTTGATTTTGCTAGACACCCTCACTTAGGCTATGGGGGTGTGTCAAATGTTGTAGCCTATAGTGAGGTTTGTCTTAGGGGGTACAGAAGTTAGGGTTTGTTATATGTACCCAACCAACATCAATGGAACGATCCATTCCTCATTCTGACAGTTATCTCGCGGGGAAGCCTTGTCTCGTCTGCTGGAAGTGCTCCCGGCTGCCATTGTGTTGATGAAGGACCAGTCGCCGAAGTTGTACGAAGTGGCAACGTCGTTCAAGTTTCATTGGCTTCTGCGGCTCCTGGCGGACGTCCTGTTCGAGCTCAATCAGCTCAACCTTCGGTTCCAGCAATGCCAGGTTAGTACGCTTTATGTTGATGTATCACAGGCAGCTCTATGCTTGGTTTGCATGTGAATTTTCATCATAAAAACATGCACACACTCATTCCGTATTGCACGTGCGTCACAGGTGGATGTGGTGAGACAGATGACAAGCGTGTCGCGGCGTTCAAACGCTGGCTGAAGCAGCTCCATGTGCTCTTCCGCGAGACCCTGCCCGGTTTGTGCCCGTTGATTCTGTGATATTTCATTCTGCGCACACATGAATGTCACACCCTGGTGTAATAGCATGCACACGGCTTGCTTCCCATGACTTATGCTCTTGATGACCAACACCTCTCCCCCCCTCCCCCCTTCCCCCTCCCAACGCTAATCTGCCGCTTTGTACTCTTATGAGAATCACTTCCCCTATGCCTCAGGCTTCAACTACACGAAGGCTGTCGCAGAGCCCTGGATGTTTACATCGACTATGCATTCCCAGCACCATGACGAAGATTTCCATCAAGCGCTCAACAACACTCTGCGCGACGACCAGTGGCAGCGCTCCTACCCCAACATCATGCTCCTGTGGCAAGAAGTCGCTGTGCTGCCTCTGAGCACGGTGGAGTGCGAGAGGGGGTTCAGCAAGCAGAACATTATCAAGACGTAGGGCCGGGGGAGCATCTCAGACACATCACTGGGACACCTCATGCGCTGCTCTCTCCTTGAGTACACCGTGGACTGGTTCGATGTCGCACGCATCTTCCGTGGCGACAGACACAGGCGGCCAATCCGAGACTTCACTGGCAGCAACCCAAGTGATACTCAGTTTAACCCTGCAGCAGTCCTTGACACAACTGCAAGTACAGAGCACCAGGAGGGACCAGAGAATGAGTGATGCAATCTTTTGTTAGTGGTAGGTTATGTATGGTTGCATGTAGGGGAAGCAGTAGGGGCATTTTGATTTTCCCTGGCACACAGGGTGGTTTCATAAATAGCCTTACAAAGATAGGATACTAGCCAAAACACACTGACTAGCACCGGGCAAAAAAAAATCCACCCTGACTGTCAGGCAAAGGGCTCTGGGGGACCCTGATATGGCAGGGTGCCCCAAAACCAATTTTGGGCCCTGGTGTCAAGTCGATTCCACAAAGAAAATGGCAGCTATTCTTGCTAGAGCGCATCTTCTCTTCACACCACTAGCCTGTTTCCCTATCCACTCCCTAGTTCGCATGCTAGTATTCATACGGTACGTCAGTTACCGATTACTTTGTCAAGTGTTTGTGTTCACCATTGAGATCAATTCTTTCCAATGTCAAGTCACATTACTTTCTCCACCTTACACTTGAACAGTTGAACATAATCTCTGGTTTGCAGTGTTGTCGTATGTGCATCTGTACAGTCGACTGATATTATTGTATCTAATGGCTTGTTCAGGGACGTATCGCGCGGACGACAGTGCCGATGTCCTCGAAGGCGGAAAGGGTGTCCAGTGCATGCGCAAATCATGGTTACCTGTCGCAGAAGGTACTCTCCTTGGTCGTACTAGCGTTTTTGTGTTGGCGAAACATATCGACTTCTCGTCAATCCTTTCAGCCGCGCCGCTGACTCCGTCCCCGTTCCGCGATTTCCCCCTTTTGGTAAGAAAGCCTGGCAGAATATTACCCCGCCTATGCGGCGCCACCTTTGGGCTTGCCGAATTCTCCATGCCTGCCAAGGCAAATCGTTCATCTCCTGTTTGCCAGGGGCTTCGCCTCCCTCCCCCGTCCCCTCCCCTCCCATCCCATCCCTTCCCTTCCACTTCCATCTTCCCTTGCTTGACGCATCTTCTCCTCCAGCCATGCAGTCATGGAAACCTTCTCCTCCTCACTTAGTCCTCCGCGAGTTTTTCTTAGCTAACTCGGTCTGTCCGTCCATGGCCGCTTCTTCAGTTGTTAAGACGGGCGCGTGCAGTCTCATGGTGACATGTGCGTCAAACACTAGCAGTCACTTAAACGCAAGCTTAGGCTCCAGATCAAAACGCTCTACTCTATGGGAGGACTAGCCGCTAGAAGCTTGAATGAGGTTGCATCATCAAATTATTCTTTCGATCAGCCCTTATGCTCGACGTCACCTCCGTTTTTTGGGTTATTATAGCCTTTACAATCCCTCTAACCATGACGTTCGCGGCCGTCATGCATCTTCCTGCGGACTCAGCATTTTTCGCGTCGGGAGACGACGTTCCGACCGATTGAGAGGACTTTCATCCGGCTTCGGATGAAGCGTACATCATTTTCCGAGAGTGCGAGTCTCGCTGGGTCCTGCGAAAAGCAATTATGTACTTCGCACCATCCATGGCCGCTTCCAACAACTACTAACCGAACGCTTCGACGCTTTCGACGTCAACGAAGATTACACTCGAATACGTCCTGACGTTGAAGAATATGTTACAACCAGGGAGCAGCTTCTTAAGGAGGCGACGGTAGAGTTCGCGAATGCGTCGGCGCTTGCTGAGCTCACGAATGGATGATAGAAAGAGATCTCGACACTGCCATGGACGATTTTCGTGAAGTCGGTGCGGACGCAAATGCTTGATGGAGAAGATTCTTCGTTGCTACCACTACTATTCGTCGATCCGGAAGATCTCGCGAGGCCGTCGACGCTCGCGAGGGAGATGGTAGGGACGACGGAGGAGCTTCGTCGTGAACATGACGACGGAAGGAGCAGCCTTGGAAGATACGTTGATACGTCGATTCTCACGACGACGGAGGAGCTCGCGAAGGAGATTCGTCGTGAACCTGGCGGCGAAGGAGGTCGCGACGGAGATTCGTCGTGAACCTGACGGCGGAGGAGCTCTCGGCGTCCTCTGCGGATCGTGTGAAGTTGACGCTGCAAGGGCTAAGGGGGGCGAAGGAGCCGTCAGCGCTGACGGCGAATCCGTCGTCGTCCAAACCGCTACTCCAAATTCCAGGCGGTTGTTTCTCAGGCAGCAAGGTATATTTCCAAGTTATCTCGAGTTCCTATTATTCTGTTATTTGTCGTTTCGCGTTTCAATTTGGTGTATTTCCGTTTCCGTTTCCGTTTCCGTTCCTATCATGGCGTATCTCACTCGTTGTGATTTGAACTGTCTCCGTCCGTGCAGGAGAGGGAGATGGTCGCCTGCCAGAGAAGACGCTCTGTCAAGAGCTGGAGCAGTGCTCTGCGGTTGCGTTCGTGCAGCCGCGGGAGAAGCACTCGCAAGAGAAGGTGCTGACTGGCGCTGGATCTGGCGAGAGAAGGTGCCAACTGCTGGATGTGGCGAGAGAAGAGTGCTGACTGGCGCTGAATCTGGCGAGAGAAGGTGCTGACTGGCGCTGGATGTGGCGAGAGAAGGTGTTGACTGACGCTGGATTTGGCGAGAGGAAGGTGCTGACTGCTGGATCTGGCTGCAACTGCTGGCTGCTGCGTTCGAGCGCATTGGAGGTGGACCAGTGGCTGCTGCGGCGTTTGGCGTGAGGCGAATGGCGCGGAGAACGGTGGTAAACGCGAATCAATGAGGCCTGCTGTCGACGCGAGGCAACGATCAGCTGCAGCCGACTAGCAATGAAACCTGAGTTTCCTTTCCCTCGTCTCTTCACTCTCTCTCTTCATCACCCTACGCTGTTGTTTTCACATGTCTTTGAGATTGTCTTCAAGGCGACACCCATGATCACCTTCTCTGAATGTGAGTGCAACAGCAGGTCCCCCCGGTTAAGACTTGGTAAACAGCAGGTCCCCCCGGTTAGGACTTGGTAAACAGCAGGCCCCCCTGGTTAATCCTTCATGTACTGGTGTTCTTTTCTTGTCGCTGTTGTTTGCCATCCTTGCGAACTTGTTTACTTTGCCAATCTTCCTATCTCTGTCTCGTTTGCCATGATTGCTCTCTCGTTCTCGTTTTGCATTCTGATGTGCTCTCTGTGCATTCATCACTTCTCTTTGTCATCCAGATATGCACTTGATAATCTGTTAATCCCGTTCAAATTCATATCCGCGCTTGTCTTAGCGCCTTGTGCATGCATCTCTCCAGCCAAAATCTTCTTGGCTCTAAATGTCTCTCTTCGCATCCTTGGCAAGAAATCTTGAGGACGGGCGCGCAGCAACGGGAGCATACGGGTTGAGGACGGCACTGCTGGCGGGATGGGGGAGGGCGAGCGCGGTGGGATGACGCACGGCCGGCAGCCACGGGCTTGTGGCTGCCTCTACCTGCCCTGCTGACCACCCGCGTGCGAGGGCGAGGAGGGTGCTTCTGGTGGAGGCGGTGCTGCTGGTGAAGGCGGTGCTTCAGGTGGAGGCGGTGCTAGCTGGTGAGGCGGTGCTTCAGGTGGAGGCGGTGCTTCTAGTGGAGGCAATGCTGCTGGTGGAGGCGGTGCTTCTGGTGGAGGCGGTGCTGCTGGTGGAGGGCGGTGCTTCTGGTGAGGCGGTGCTGCTGGTGGAGGCGGTGCTGCTGGTGGAGGGAGCGATCTGCTGCAGTCGACCTTCAGACCCACTGAGTTCCCTTGCCCTCCGCTCTTTGCTCTCTCTCTTGAGCTCTCTCGCTGTCGTTCTTTTGCCGCTGAAATTTCCATCTACACTCGATCGAGACGACACCTGCGGCCACCACCACCTCCTGTGGAAGTGAGTGAGACATCCGGTTACCCCTTGGTAAAACAGGAAGGTCCCCCCGGTTAACTCTCTCTGCTCTTTGCTCTCTCTCTTGAGCTCTCTTGCCCGATGCTCTTTCTGTCTCTGCAATTTCCATCGACACTCGATCAAGGCGACACAACGCGACCAACAGCACCTCCTCTGGAAGTGAGTGAGTCATCCGGTTACCCCCTTGGTAAAACAGAAGGTCCCCCCGGTTAACTCTCTTGTTCTCTCTCGTGTATTGTTGATCTTCATGCTGCCATTCGTGTTGCCGTTCGAGTCTTGTTCATACTTGTTTGTCATTCCTCCTTGCCATTCGATATCTCCGCTCTCAGGTTTCCTGATATCTCGCCCCTGGCGAGTTCCTTCTGTATCCTCTCTCTGTTTCTGTTGCTTCCCGTGCAGAGCCAGCAGAGGGCAGCAGTGGGATGACGCACGCCAGGCAGCACGCTACGGAGGCATACGGGCCGTGGGTGGCGCGCATGCATCCCGGATGGACGAGAGCGCGTGGTGGGATGACGCACGGCCGGCAGCCATGGGCGTGTGGTTGCCTCTGCCCGCCCTGCTGACCACCCACGTGCGAGGGCGAGGAGGCGGTGCTGCTGGTGCGATCTGCTGCATCGACCTTCAGACCCACTGAGTTTCCTTGCCCTCTGCTCTTTGCTCTCTCGCTGTCGTTCTTTAATTTCCATCGATCGAGGCGACACACGCGACCAACAGCACCTCCTCTGGAAGTGAGTGAGACATCCGGTTACCCCTTGGTAAAACAGGTGGTCCCCCCGGTTTAACTCTCTTGTTCTCTCTCGTGTATCGTTGATCTTTTTTCTGCCATTCGTGTTTGCCATTCATTCTTGTTTGCCATATGTTCTTGTTTGCCATTCATACTTATTTGTCATTCCTCCTTGCCATTCGACCTCGTCCGCTCTCAGGTTTCCTGATATCTCGCCCCTGGCGAGTTCCTTCTGTATCCTCTCTCTGTTTCTGTTGCTCCCCGTGCAGAGCCAGCAGAGGGCAGCAGTGGGATGGCGCACGCCAGGCAGCACACTACGGAGGCATACGGGCCATGGGTGGCGCGCATGCATCCCGATGGACGAGCGCGCGCGGTGGGATGACGCACGGCCGGCAGCCATGGGCGTGTGGCTGCCTCTGCTCGCCCTGCTGACCACCCGCGTGCGAGGGCGAGGAGGCGGTGCTTCTGGCGGAGGGAGGCGGGAAACGCGGGTTCCATTCTGGTCTGCGGTCGATAGCGACTCCAATTGAGTTTCCTTATCCCCGCCTCTTTGCTCTGTCTCTTTATCTCTTTGTCATTCATTCTCGTTGTCTTTGGAATTTTCATCGACACTCTTGGCAGCAACAACCTTCTCTGGATGCCCTTTACTCGCTTCATTGATCTCGCTGGCGTTCTCTTTTGTCTTTCAACTCTTCATCAATAGAGGCGGCAACCTTCTCTGGATGTGAGCTCTTTTGAGCCTGTACTCTCTCTCTCTCTCTTCATGTTTCTTGTCGGCGTTCTCTTTTGTGTTTCAACTCTTCATTCGGCAACGAACTTCTCTGGATGTGAGCTCTCTCGCGCCCTCTACTCTCTCTCTTGAGCTCGAGACGAGGCGAGGCGAGGTGAGGCGAGTTGGAGAGAGGCGGTGTGGAGCGCAAGCTCCCCAGGGGCGGATTGAGCGAGGCTCTTTCAGGAGGACCCAAGGCGCAGCAGATTCAGCGAGGAGAGGGGCGAGCATCCTCTCCTCAGGCTCATTGACTTGCTCTGGTGGGGTGGGTGCATGGTGCTGCTCCAGTATGTGTGCTGGACTGGTCTCTATGGTGCTCACGGATTGAGCGAGGCTGTCTTTGGAGGACCCAAGGCGCGGTTGATGCAACGAGGATGGACGCATCCTGCCACTCATCGACAGAGGTTGTTTGTGGCGCAACGAGAGGTTGTTTTTGGCGCAACGAGGATGGACGCATCCTGCCAATCATCGACAGAGGTGAGGAGAGGTTGTTTGTGGCGCAACGTGGTGGGATGACGCACGGCCAGCAGCCATGTGCATGTGGCTGCCTCCTACCCGCGCTGGTGACCACCCGCTTGCTGGCGGCTCGCGAGGCGAGGCGGATGGAGCAAGGATGGAGCGAACGAAGCTCCTCTTTGCCCATCCATGCGTGTGCTCTCCCCACCTGCACCCTTGGGGTGAGGTGGAGGTGTGAGAGGGAGTGGCTGACGGGTTGGAGGAGGAGGAACTTGGAGAGGGATGATGTCGTATGTGGAAGGGGACTCAAGCTGCGGCAAGAGTGTGTCGGGGTGATCCTTTGATTGGGGGGTGGCTCCCCCTCTCATTGGCTCTCGCTCTCCCTCTTGTCCAGCTGGGCTCGGTAAGAGTGTGTCGGGGTGGTGATGCTCTGATTGGGGGGTGGCTCCCCCTCGTCGTTGACTCTCACTCTCCCTCTTGCCGAGCGGAGCTGCAAGTAAGAGTGTGTCTGGGTGGTGATCCTCTGATTGGGGGTGGCTCCCCATATCGGTTGCTCTCACTCTCCCTCTTAAGGACCGGAGCTGCGGGAAGAGTGTGTCGGGGTGATGTTACTTTCAATTGGCGGTTGGCCCCCCCTCTCGTTAGTACCCACTCTCCCTCTTGCCCAGCTGAGCCGCGGTAGAGCGTGTGTCGGGATGCGTTGCTTCGATTGGGGGCTGGCCACCTTCGATTGGGGTTTCTCATCCTCCCGCTGCCCACCGTTGGCTCCTCCTCCCTGACTGCAATACTTCAGTACCCTCGTCCCGGTAACTCCTCTTTCGGCCTTGACGCCCTCCTGATCAGCACTCCTCTTTTCGTCAACGCTGGACGTGAGTGCAACGCCAACGACCGCCTTCTCTGGATGTGAGTGCAACGCCAACGACCGCCGTCTCTGGATGTGAGTGCAACGCCAACGACCGCCGTCTCTGGATGTGAGTGCAACGCCAACGACCGCCGTCCTCTGGATGTGAGTGCAACGCCAACGACCGCCTTCTCTGGATGTGAGTGCAACGCCAATGACCGCCGTCTCTGGATGTGAGTGCAACGCCAACGACCGCCGTCTCTGGATGTGAGTGCAATGCCAACGACCGCCTTCTCTGGATGTGAGTGCAACGCCAACGACCCGCCGTCTCTGGATGTGAGTGCAACGCCAACGACCGCCGTCTCTGGATGTGAGTGCAACGCCAACGACCGCCGTCTCTGGATGTGAGTGCAACTCCAACGACCGCCGTCTCTGGATGTGAGTGCAACGCCAACGACCGCCGTCTCTGGATGTGAGTGCAACGCCAACGACCGCCGTCTCTGGATGTGAGTGCAACGCCAACGACCGTCGTCTCTGGATGTGAGTGCAACGCCAACGACCGCCTTCTCTGGATGTGAGTGCAACGCCAACGACCGCCGTCTCTGGATGTGAGTGCAACGCCAACGACCGCCGTCTCTGGATGTGAGTGCAACGCCAACGACCGCCGTCTCTGGATGTGAGTGCAACGCCAACGACCGCCTTCTCTGGATGTGAGTGCAACGCCAACGACCGCCGTCTCTGGATGTGAGTGCAATGCCAACGACCGCCTTCTCTGGATGTGAGTGCTACGCCAACGACCCCCGTCTCTGGATGTGAGTGCAACGCCAACGACCGTCTTCTCTGGATGTGGGTGCAACGCCAACGACCGCCGTCTCTGGATGTGAGTGCAACGCCAACGACCGCCTTCTCTGGATGTGAGTGCAACGCCAACGACCGCCTTCTCTGTATGTGAGTGCAACGCCAACGACCGCCTTCTCTGGATGTGTGTGCAACGCCAACGACTGCCTTCTCTGCATGTGAGTGCAACGCTAACGACCGCCTTCTCTGGATGTGTGTGCAACGCCAACGACTGCCTTCTCTGCATGTGAGTGCAACGCCAACGACTGGCTTCTCTGGATGTGAGTGCAACGCCAACGACCGCCTTCTCTGGATGTGAGCGCAACGCCAACGACCGGCCTCTCTTGCTTCGATGTAAGTTTGCATTTCGCTTTTTGCTTTGCTTCGACCGTCTAACGGTGTTTGCCTTTCCATAGTGTTATCAAACAGCAAGACACAATTGGAGCTGAGGGGAGCGCGGTGCAGTGCAGTGCAGCGCCATTAGCAACGCCTGCTTTTAGAGGGGAGTATGGGGTTGGGGGGAGCATCGTTTTTCGTTTCTGGTTTCTTGTTTCTTTCTCTTGTCGCAAGTTTTGCTTTCCTTTGCATTGTGTTCTCACACTTGCCCCTTCTCCAGAAACTTATCTCTCCTCTCTAGCTTCCTCCTCCTGCATTCCCGTGTTGTGACAGGACGCGGCATGGCGGATTGGGAGAGCTGGGGAGGACAGCAGCAGCACGGGAGGCGCGGCAGCGTGTTCGGGAGGGGGGATGGAGAGCGGTTGAAGTGCGGAGGAGGATGAGCGCCGTCCGCCACCAGCAACGGCTTCTTTCAGAAGGGAGTACGGGGTTGGGGGGAGCAACTTGGTTCGTTTCTTGTTTTCTTGTTTCTTTCTCTTGTCGCAAGTCTTGCTTTCTGTTTTCATTGTGTTTCACACTTGCCCCTTCTCCAGAAACTTATCTCTCCTCTCTAGCTTCCTCCTCCTGCATTTCCGTGTTGCTACAGGACGCGGCATGGCGGATTGGGAGAGCTGGGGAGGACAGCAGCAGCATGGGAGGTGCGGCAGCGTGTTCGGGAGGGGGAATGGAGGGCGGTTGAAAGCGCGGAGGAGGATGGAGCGCCGTCCGCCACCAGCAATGGCTTCTTTCAGAAGGGAGTGCGGGGTTGGGGGGAGCAACTTTGTTCGCTTCTTGTTTTCTTGTTTCTTTCTCTTGTCGCAAGTCTTGCTTTCTGTTTTCATTGTGTTTTCGTACTTGCCCCTTCTCCAGAAACTTATCTCTCCTCTCTAGCTTCTTCCTCCTGCATTCCCGTGTTGCTACAGGACGCGGCCTGGCGGATTGGGAGAGCTGGAGAGGACAACAGCAGCACGGGAGGCGCGGCAGCGTGTTCGGGAGGGGGGATAAAGGGCGTTTGGAGCACGGAAGAGGATGGAGCGCCGTCTGCTACCAGCAACGGCTTCTTTCATAAGGGAATACGGGGTTGGGGGGAGCGTCTTTGTTTTTTCCTTGTTTTCTTGTTATTTTTTCCTTGTCGCAAGTTTCGCTTCTGTTTTGTTTTGTTCTGCATTCGCTTTTCACTCGTGCTTCATCAGCAACTTATTTGTCCTCTTTAGTCTCCTCCCGCATTCCTCTGCAAGGTGCATCTTGGCTACAAAGGACCTGGCGAGGACTGTACAGCAGTGGAGGAGCGGCGAGAGCGCATGGAGCAGCATGGTGGCAGCACCACTGCCAGCACCGGGAGTGACAACACCGGCAGCACCATCATGGGAGTGACAACAGCAGCACGAGGAGGGACAACAGCAGCACGAGGAGTGACAACACCTGCATGCGAGTAACAACACCTGCATGCGAGTGACAACAGCAGCACGGGGAGTGACAACAGCAGCACCAACATCAGAACCGGCAGCAACAGGCTAAGGTGGTCTGTTCGTGCGCCCGTGCCCTGTCGAACCTGTGCCGTCCGTCCGTAACCTGTTCGTGCGCCCAGTGCCCTGTCGAACCTGTGCCGACCGTCCGTAACCTGTTCGTGCGCCCGTGCCCTGTCGAACCTGTGCCGACCGTCCGTAACCTGTTCGTGCGCCCGTGCCCTGTCGAACCTGTGCTGTCCGTGGTTGCATGTTCCTTGTATTGCTCCCGCGTCCCTCCCTCCCACAGGTGCATCGTTTGCCTTTACTCCTGCCCCCCTGGGCAGGAGCTTTGTTTGCCTCACTGTTTGTTTCCTCTCCTCTCTTCTCAGCCCCACCCCCCCCCTCTCAGCCCTCCCAAGCAGGTGTCCCAAACGATGGCCTCCACCTCAGCGCGGTGTTTGGGTGTAACGTCAGGGGCGCAAGCCTCTGGCGGCCAAGAGGGGCCCTACCAAGCAAGCAAGGAAGTCCTCTCCAACTCCCAAGTGCAGTGACAGTGTAGAATATTGTAACAATTTTGTGCTGCAATGGTAGCGGCAGTACAGGAATTCATAACATTATAATGCTGCAGTAGTAGTAGCAGCACTGGATTTTGCAACAATACAGGGCTGCAGTAGTGAAGGCAGTTTAGGATTCTACAAACAACACAGTTGCAGTAGTAGATGCAGTACAGGGTTACAGTACTGCAGTAGTAGAGGCAGTACAGGATTACAGTACTGCAGTAATAGAGGCAGTACAGGAGTCTACAGACAATACTGCAGTAGTATAGGCAGTACAGGAGTCTACAGACAATACTGCAGTAGTATAGGCAGTAAATACAGGAGTCTACAGACAATAATGCAGTAGTCTAGGCAGTACAGGAGTCTACAGACAATACTGCAGTAGTATAGGCAGTACAGGAGTCTACAGACAATACTGCAGTAGTATAGGCAGTACAGGAATCTACAGACAATACTGCAGTAGTATAGGCAGTACAGGAGTCTACAGACAATACTGCAGTAGTATAGGCAGTACAGGAGTCTACAGACAATACAGATCTGCACAAGAGGCAGTACAGGGAATTGAGTGCTGTACTGTGCTGGCAGTACATGATTCAGGTAGGAAGATGCACATACACAGATCTGTAGACAACCAGTTTGAGGTTGATACACTCATTGATCAAACAGTACTGATACATTTGGAGCACTTTGGAGAGCGGACGCAGATGAATCAGATACTAGAACAGCATCAGTGCCTATGCAATGGTAGATGCAATGAAGACAAGTGCTGCAAGCAACAATGTGCTATTGAGTATGGGTTGCCAGGGTCTTCCAATTGCTAAGAGCAAAGGTGCTACTCGTGTAAAGAAAGGAACCCATGCCATTATGCAACCAGTTCTGCTGCTTGTATAAGCGCATCGTGCAGCGAATGGAGCAGCATGGCGACAGCACCAGCACTGGCACCGGCACTGCTGCTTGTGTATCAGCACTTGAACTAGACCAACCACCCTGACTTGTGCCATGGTGCAGGGCATCTAGCTCTCAGCCTCGAATATGGGCTGTGCCGGGTTCAGTGCCTTCTGCTGCTTAGGAAAGAGGCATGTAGGGACAGTGGGAGGCAGACAAGGGGGAAATGGGCGAGGCACGGAGGGGCCAGAGAGGATTGAAGTCAGTGCAGGGACGAGAGGTGTGAGGAGGAAGGACAGAGCATGCATGTAAGCAATAAAATACAATAAAATACATGTAATCAATAAAATACATGTAATAAATAAAATACACATGATGCACAAGTGTGGTGCAGTGTTCAGTGCCCTCTGGTGCACGTGTGTGTGTGTGGGTGTGGGCGTGTGTACGAGAGAAGCCAACCACCCACAGTCACAACGCCCTCAACCAGCAAGCCACCCACACGCACACTCGCACTCGATCACCAAACCACCCACACTCACATTCTCACTCGATCACCAAGCCAACCACACTCTCACTCAATCATTGAACCACACACCCACACTCGCGCTCGACCATCAAACCACTCACACTCACACCTGCACTCAGTTACCAAGCTAACCACACTCACCACATAGTAAGCGATGACGATGGCAAGCACAACAACAAGCACCCCAGCCATCCCCCACAGAGCACTGCCGCTGAGCCACCAGCGCATGCCGCCGGCGCCGCTCCTTGTTCCGCAGTCAACCAACACCCACACTCACCACATAATAAGCGACGACGATTGCAAGGACAATGGCAAGCACCCCAGCCAACCCCCACAGAGCACTGCTGCTCAACCACAGGTCCTTCTTCCTCAGTGCCACCAGCGCCTGCCCCCTGCGCTGCTCCCTGTGACTTTCGACAAAAACCACCCGCACTCACAACCAACCAACCCACAATCACCACCAACTCAATCAGCATTCCCCGCACCACTCACCACATAGTAAGCGATGACAATAGCAAGCACAACAGCGAGGATGCCTGCCAACCCCCACAGAGCACTGCCACTCAGCAACCCGCTCTTCTTCTTCCGCAGTGCCACCAGCGCCTGCCGCCGGCGCTGCTCCCTCCTCGACAGCCCCGCCTCCGCCTCTCCGCCCTTGCCCGCATCGCCCTTGCTGTTAGCAGCGGCGCCAGTCTCCTCGGCAGCAGAGGCATCGTCGCCTGTGGTGGCGTCCTCTGGAGCTTCGCCCTCTGCCGGCGCCTCTGCTGCCCCTTCCACGTATGGCACCCCTGCTGCTGCTGCCTTCTTGCGTGCCCTCTTCTCCCGCTCCTGCAGGGGGAAGGGAGGGCAGGAGGGAAAGAGGGGGAGGGGGGATGGGGAAGGTGGAGAAGATGGGAGGCAGTAGAGAGTTTAGTAGAGTTTAGCAGCGGCGCTGGTCTCATCTGCAGCAGAGGCATCGTCGCCTGTGGTGGTGTCTTCAGGGCCCTCGCCCTCTGCTGGCGCCTCTGCTGCCCCTTCCACGTATGGCACCCCTGCTGCTGCTGCCTTCTTGCGCGCTCGCTTCTCCCGCTCCTGCAGGGCGATGGAAGGGCAGATTGGGAATACAGGAGGGAAAGGGGAGGGGGAGGAAAGAGAGGGGAGGGGACAAGTGGAGAATGTGGGAGGCCGAAGGGGGGGAGAATAAAAAGGGGAGGGACAAGGAGAGAGAGGAGTGAGAATTGATGAGAGCATGTGGTACGTGGTGGTCAGATGTGCCAATAAGGAACCCATGCCTGAGTGATATGTCTCGATGGGCAATACGGCAACAGCGAATTCCAGGCCACCAGATGACGACGGTGCTAAACGCTTTTCTCCTTTCCACTCAAGCACCCAGGTTAACCACCCAACGCATACTGCCAGAAGCACTGTGCCGATTGCCTCTCTGCTTGCCCAGCCACCTACCCACCCACCCATGCAACCATCCCCTCACCCATACTCTCACCCACCCACTCACCCACCCACACAACCTCCCACTCATCCATCCATGCAACCCTGAACCAGCCCACTCAACCACCCACCAACCCACGCACCTTCTCGCGCCTCTTAGCGAGAGCCTCAGCCTCCTTGGCAGCGCGCGCCTCCGCCCGCTTCTGAGCCTTCTCCGCCAGCTTCGCCTTGCGCGCCTCTGCCTCCTTGGCCTTCCTTATCGCCTCCTCCCTCCGCCTCTCCCTCTCCGCCTCCTCATCCACCTCCTCTACCTTTGTTTCCGGTACCTTCATCACTACTCCGTTCTCCTTACCCGCCTTCCCTTCCCCCTTCCCTTTCCCCACGTCCACCTCCTCATCCCCCCAGCCCCCCGCTGCTGCTACTGCTGCGGCTCCTCGCGAGCCCTTCCCTGCCCCCTCCGCCGTCTCCCCCTTCCCCTTCCCCCCTGCGCCCTTATCCCCCCCAGCCGCCTTCCCCGTTTCCTTCTCCCCAGCCCCCTTCCCCTTCTTCTCCGCCCCGCTCCCCGCCCTTGCCTCCCCAGCACCCGCCGCGGAAGCTGCCGGCGCCGAGGCTGGCGCGTAGGTTCGGGAGGGCACGTCGAGCAAGTTCGCGGGGTCCTCGTCCACAACCGAGCCTGCGCGTGTCGAGTGAGCGGAAGCGGCGGATGGTGCTGTAGCGATTCGCCTCCACGTACGCCGCTCGGTACGCCGCGTCCGTGTTCAGACGGAGATGCGTGCGCTCCCTCTGAGCAAGGCGGCGACAGTAGGAGGGAAGAAGGTGGGGGGGAGGGGGGTGGGAGAGAAAGAACCTGAGGGCGGGCACATACGGATAAGGAGGGAGCGTAAGCCGCGGATGGTGCTGTAGCGATTTGCCTCCACGTATGCGGCTCGGTATGCCGCGACCGTGTTGAGACGGAGATGCGTGCGCTCCCTCTGAGCAAGGGAGACAGTGGGATATAAAATCGGAGGGCGGGTACGTAAAAGTACGGTGGGAGGGAGGGTGGTTGTGATGCATAATTCGATTCGATTCCATTCCATTCCGTTGCTTCCATTGGCATGCCTGCTGCTCGCATTACACTCCCACAACCAAACTCACAATTCCGCACTCCCAGCCCAGCCACCATTCATGCCGTCATTCCCGGAACCACAACCACAGCCGCACGCTGCAAGCCCTGAACCCCCCGGCGCACCTGCTGCTCGCAGAACGCCTCGAGCGCAGCCACGTCCTTCTTGGAAGCGAGCTCCTGAATCGTCGCCAGGTCCGCTCGGTACTGCCGGAAATCCTCGTCCTGCAATTGAAAAGGGAGGGGGTGGTTGGGTGTGCAACGGGAATGGGAGAGGGGATAAGGCAGAGGACGGAGAGAGATGGCAGAACTTAAGGCCAGCTTCTGAAGAGCCACCGGTCCGTACGGTTCTGGCGGAAGGCCACATACTATGGGGGGAGGAGCGAGAGGCGAAGGGTAGGACGGAACAGGAGCGGCAGCCCGGGGGGAAGGATGGGGGGAGAAAAGTCGACGCGGATCGGGAGGGCGGAAAGCAACACCCGCACACCTTTTTGTTGGTGGCGGCGCGCGCGGCGCGCAGCTCGTCGTAGACCTTATCCGCGTCGAGCTGCGCCTTGGCGCGCTCACCGAAGAGCGCTTGCACCTCCTCGTCCAGCGCCGCCGCCTCCGCCTCGAGCGTCGCACAGATCTTCTGCGCCGCGTCGCGCTCCAGCTTCAGCACGTCCACCTCCGCCATCAGCGGCTGGATCGGGGACGGGGAAGCGGATGGAGGGAGAGAGGTGGGGAGGGTGGGGAGTGTGGGGACAGTGGGGAGGAAGGGGGGGGGTGTGGAGGGGGGAAGACGGGGAGTGGTGGGAGGATGGGAGGCGGGGGTGAAGGGCGGAGAGGCGAAGCGGACGTGTGACGTGAGTGTCGCGCTTCAGCTTCAGTATGTGGACACCCGCCCGCCGAGATCGGGTCAAATGGGGGAAAGGGGGGTGCTGGGAGGAGAAGCCACCATGACAAGAAAATCACACCATGACCATCACACAATGGTAAAACAATTACATCGACCGCAAATCCACCGCACATTCACATCATTTCGAGCATTCTTAACATGCCTGGCATTCCCACCCACTCTTCCCAACATGCCCAGCATTCCCAGCACTTCCAGCCTTCCCACCAGCGCAGCAGCGCGCGCGTTACCTTGAGGCGCTCCTGGATGGAGTCGCGCTGGCCCTGGCTCTCCTGGAACGACGCCGTGAGGGCCTCCATCTCCTTCACCTTGGGCCGCGACGCCTCCAGATCCTTGAGCTCCTTCATCAGCTGCTTCTCCTCCTTGAGCGATATCGTCTCGTGCTGCATGCGGTGCTCCGTCGCCGCGATCTGCGGCGGGCGGGACGGGTGAGGACGACCGGGATGGGATGGAAAAATATTTAGGGTCGCAATCGTCACTTCGATCCACGCGGCGTACGGCGGCCCGCCATGCGGGCCAAGCGCTGCGAAGGCTAGAGAAAGCGCGCTGTTCGAGTCGCAAAATTCGTTTGTGCAGACGAGGTGATGTGAGTCAAATTCGGTATTTTATTTAATTGATAGATTGGTCACGCGATCAACACTCACACGCAGATTTTTATTTAATCAGCGTTCGTATGGAACCAACACAGGATACTGATTGGCTTACCAGCGCGTTGAGCTGCGCCTCCGTGGTGCACTCGAGCCCGCGGCCCCTGTCGCGCACGCTCGCCTTGCTCTCGTTCATCTTGCGCAGCACGCCCTGCAGCGGCTTCGCCTCGTCGAACTTGTTGCGCACGTCTTGCGAACAATCCCGCGCGCGCGCCCGCGCGGCCTTGAGCGCCTCGAAGGCCTCCGACCATTGCGCCTGTGTCGGTGCATATTTTTCACACGAACAAACAGAAAAGAAAGCGACGATAAGACAACACAATCAGAAAGAAATTGTCAAACGGGAGTTCTCGAGGAAGAGACTTCACATATTCGTGCATATAGATGATTAAAAACGCGCGATGCGATACCTTCTTCGCGCGAAGAGCGGCACTAACGGCCTGCTGCTTGTCGCGCTTCTCCTTCACCCGCTGCTCCACCGCCTTGATCTTGTTGATCTCCGCCGACAGATCCGGACGCGGAATTCTGATGAAATAAAACTCGCGATGCGTGATCGTTGGTTCCGCCGCCATCTCCGGGACCGCCGCGAGCTCCGGAACGTCCGCTGGTGCGAAGCCAGAGTCAGCTCCATCCGGACCGATCGCGGGTTCGAATCCCGCAGTGCTCGATATGCCATCGGCCGATTCCAACGGAGCTGAATCGGCAATTTCTGCGGATGGGGCTTCCGTTCCCGAAGCGTCCCTTCCAATTTGCGAGACGTCTTCGACAACAGGCGGGATTTCGTCTCCTGATGCCATTACTACGAGTAAGGGTAAGCCCTCAAGTGACGGGCGTGCGGAAACACTGCGAAAGATCTTGTCTAGACCACAAATGGCAAAGAAAAACTCCTAGATCCGTCACCTACCCACCAGTGAAGGCGGATGAAGAAGCAGAAGTGAGATCTGGGAGTGAGGAGTTCAAAATGAATGAAGACTTGGATGATGTAATGAATTCAAGGCAATCATTCGCGTTATAGAGTCCCTCGATGATCGGGACCCCAGTCGACAACATCGAGGTTGGTGAAATGGGAACGAACAACCTGACAGGCAAACCGTTGACCTTGGCTGTCGGAGTTGCTTCGTTGGCAACCCACAGAATAGAGGGAAAATACATGCCTTGGCGTGCGCCAGAAGTCCCTGCCCGGCCTCCGAGAAAAGCGAAAAACGTCGGCGGGTGGAGGCACATCTGGCATATTACCGCAGCGCCTTGGGAACTCCTGCGTGGATTGTTCCTTGATGTGGTGCTGGCTTGTAGGGGGTGAAAGCTCTCGGTCAGGTCTGCTCGATAAGAAATTATTTTGCACAGTGTGTGGAACGATCTTGGTTTGGCATCTGGGGCAGCCTATCTGACCTGCGCCTTGGTGTTTGCGCCAAATTAAAGTGATCGATTTTCCTCGCCACAGCAAACCTCGCCACAAGTACATACTTGTACCGAATCAGCTGGACTGTACGTTATCCATTTCTCAAGGTCTACACTGTTTCAACGGTTGCTACTGGTGTTCGAAGTTCCCGCCAGAAATGATCAAATTTTCATTAGTGCAGTGGGCAACAGGTTTCTATTTCGAGCTGTTCTCAAAATTCTCGGGGACTTTAGGACTACCCAATGCAAAATCTCTGCACGGAGAGTCATTTTTATACCATCCCACAAACAAGGTATGCCCCACTTGGGAGGTTAAAACGACTTCAGACATTATAAGAAAGGTAGTTCGGGCCAGCCCTACGAGATACCAGAGGCACATCGACCTGCTACTCAAACATTTGGTGTGTTTGTCTTTGCCAAGGTAACGATCTCTCCAAATTAGCCGTTTCCAAACCCAAACCGCTCAATTCCCCAGGCAAATTTCCTCATCAACTCAACCACCATATTCGTTAGGCAGAACCCTTTCCCCACCATCAGCCACACCTCTCACAATTATAACGCAATATCTCCCTACAGCCCTTCGTCCTACTCAATGCATATGTAGTTGTTTAGGTCAATGCGACCCGTCGAATGCATAGTGAGTCAGGCCTTCAACTGGCGTCTCGCGTTGGGTGCACCCGTTATCGCTATTTTCCAGAACGTACCTTCACCAACAATCAGACAGCACGCCACTTAGCACGGTTACAAAGGAGTAAAAAACGTATCTTGTAACCCCTTGGCTGGTTAGTGTCACAATTGCGGCATGAGCGGCGGGGGACCCGGATGGGGGACGTTTTTCGGGCTCTCGCCCTCACAGTCTCGCGTGGCTCCAGATGAGAATGGCGCCGACAATGCAATTAAGGTCGGTGCACTCGACCAAGGCACAATCAGGTCCGTCGCGGTTGAAGGCGATGCAGCAAAGCCTTCTGGCGCTGTTCCTGACCCGGTTGCAGCGGCTGATACAGGAAACAATGTTTCCGCTGATACGAATAATGGCCTCCCGCCAACTGACGAGAATCCGCCTCAGTCAATCGATAGCCTCAAACCCGTTCTGGCGGTTCAACCAGTGGCAGCAGCGAGCAGCGCAGGCATGCAGGCAGAGGCGAATGGAATCTCCAGTGGTGCGAGCGAGAACCCGAAGGAGGGAGGGAGGGAGAATGTGGCGGAGGAGGCGCGAGAGGAAGTTACTGAGGGAGAGGTTCGGAAAGGGGAGGATAGGGTAGGAGAGGGAGGGGACAGGGAAAGGGAGAGCGTAGGGTTGGAGGTTGGGGGAGAGGCGAACGCGAAGCATGAGGGGGGCGAACAGCAGGGAGGGGAGGGTAACAAGGGTGGAAAGTTCTCCGAGGCGTCTGGAAGCCCGCCTGTGACGGAAGCTGGGACGCTGCTAAATGGGCGGCAAGCGCCGGCAGCGAGCGAGAATTTCGTCGAGGGCGGGAGGCAGGGTGAAATGCGGGTGGAAGGAGATGAACAGCAGCGAAATGGGCGGCCACCGGCGGAGAATGCGGAAAAGAAAGTGGATGTGCGTGTTGAGGAGGGGGGGCAGTTTAAGAGTAAAGTCCCGGAGACGCCTCAAGAGCTGGAAGAGAGACGAGGCGTTGAGAGGTCTGGAGAAGAGGGCGGGAACAAGGGCGTTGAGGGAGCGAGCAAGGGCGTTGAGGGGTTGGAGAGTGTGGTGGTGGTGCTTGCAGGGGAAGAGGGGGAACGGGCGGATGGCGGAGGGGGAACCGATGGGCGGAGCGAGGGGGAAGGGGGGGGAGGGAGGGAAGGGGGTAGTGCGGTAGAGAATGGAGGAGTTGAGAAGGTAGGAGACGGCGTCGTTGGGGGATCAGTAGGGAAGGCTGAGGAAGGCGAGGGAGCTGCTGCTGCGCCTCTGACGTCACCTGTGTCTGTCTCTTCCCCTGTCCCTGTCCCTGCTCCTCTGCCTGTCTCATCTCCTCGGCCTGTCTCATCTCCTGTGTCTGCCTCTGCTCCTGTGCCTGCCTCTGCTCCTGTGCCTTCTCCTGTGCCTGCCTCTGCCCCTGTGCCTTCTCCTGTTCTAGCCTCTGCTCCTGTGCCTTCTCCTGTGCTTGCCTCTGCTCCTGTGCCTTCTCCTGTGCTTGCCTCTGCTCCTGTGCCTGCCTCTGCTCCTGTGCCTTCTCCTGTGCCTGTCTCGCCACCTGTCCCTGTCTCGTCACCTGCGCCTGTCTCGTCACCTGCGCCTGTCTCGGCCTCGAACGACAGGCATCAAGAGGGCGGAGAAGAGCCGGGAAAGCAGACCAGGGATGGGATTCGTGGGAATGGGATGCCTGACGCGGTGCCCAATGCTGGTAGCGGAGACGCTGATAAGGCGGATGAGGGGAGAAAGGAGATGCGGTCCAAGGTGGAGGAGCTGCTGGCGCAGGCTGCTGCCCTGAGGGCGCGCGGACAGGCGCGTGGGGGAAGCGCGGAGCGGGGGAACGCGGGCCTGGGGGACGGGGGAGAGGGCGGAGAGGGGGAGGGGGAGGGGGGGAGCGACGGGGACGGGGAGGAGGAGGGGAGGTGGGAGGGAACCAGTGAGGAGGAATCACCGATGGAAAGGGAGATAAGCTGGGGGGATGATGATGATGATGAGGATGATGAGAGTAGTGCAGGGGAGGAGGAGCAGGGCGGAGGAGGCGGGGGCGGGGAGGGGGAGGGGGGAGGGGGGAGTGCACCGCATGGTGCATCTGCAGCGCGCCCTGGCGGAGCTGACTGCTGCTTCCAGGGAGAGGGAGAGGCGGAAGAGAGAGGCTGCAGACGCTGCTGCTGCCGCCGCTGCTGCTGGCGGTGGTGGTGGTGGTAGTGCTGCTGCTGCTGCTGCTGGTCGTGTCAGTGCTTCTGCCTCTGCCGTTGTCGGTACTTGCGACTTCAGCTGGTGGTACTGCTGGTGATGCTGCTCCCGCTGTTGGTGGTGACACAGCAAGAGCGGAAGGGGGAGCAGCAGTGGGAGCAGCATCAGCAGGAGTTGGGACGGAACCTGCAGCAGGCTCAGTACCTGGAGAGAGGGAGAAGACAGACGTGAGTACGGCCAATGCTTTGGATGCAGCAGGAGAGGGGGCGGACAGACAAGGACAAGGGCCAGGTGAAGGGGCTGGAGACGGGGGATAAGAAGCAAGTAAAAGAGGCTGGGGACGGGGCAGGGGAGGCCCAGGGGGAAGGAGGCAAGGACGAGGGGCAGCAGAAACAAGATGTTCCTGTGGGAAAGTTACAGAAGGAACTGAAAGGGCTCGAGCTGATGCTGGCACGTGTGAAGCAGCGGCAGGTGGAGGAGCAGCAGCAGAAGGAGAAGGAGAAGCAGGCTGAGGCGGAGAGGGAGAGGCGGAAGGAGGAACAGCAGAGACAGAGGGAGAGGAAGCAGCGGGAGGAGCGGTTTAACGAGCTGCTGGAACGGCAGAGGGAGGAGGAGGAGGAGGAACGGGGGGGGAAGGGAGGCGGATCAGGGTCAGGGAGTGGCGGGGGAGGGGGAGACAGGAAGGCATTGCTTGCAGGGCTGACTCTTGCTGGTACAGGCGCTGATGCAGGGATGAAGGGGAAGGGCAAAGGAAGCTCTGCCAAGAAAGGTAGTAGCGGAGGGGGAAGAGAAGCGGAGGATGACGAGGAGGAAGAGGATGAGGAGAGTGAGAGACCGATGGGGTTGGAGGAGGCAAAGGCGCACCTGCTGAGAGTGGCAGCAGAGGGGTTTGAGAGGAAGCGCAGAGCAGAGGAAGAGGATCCGCAGATGACGGTTGGGGCGCTGCCTGTGATTCCCGAGGGGGATAAGGAAGGAGAGGAGACGGATGATGAGGAGGGGGTGGTGGGGTCGATAGGGGGTGGATGGGCGAGAGGAGTGGTGGGAGTCAGGGCTGCTGAGCGGGAGGAGGTGGAGGGGAAGGTGGAGGAGAAGAAGGGGAGTGGGGAAGAGGCGAAGGGAAAGGAGGAGGAGGTGAGGAGGGAGCAGAGCGCTGGAGGTGGTGGTGGAGGAGGAGGAGGGGGAGTTGCAAGAGGGTTGGGGTTGTTGTCGCTCTTTGGTTCGTTTGGACTAGGCCGCGGTGCAAGTGTGTCGGCAAGCAATGGTGGCAGCAGCAGCAGTGGTAGTGGTGGTGGTGATGGGAGTGGACCCAAGCCTGCTGCAACCCAAGCGACTGCTGCCAGCCCTGCTGCTGCTGGTGGTTCTGCTGCTGGTGCTGGTGGTGGTGCTGTCAGCAGCACCAGTACCGCATCCAACCCAGCAACACCCACAACAAGTGAATCTTCCTCTGCACCGCCTGCCTCCTACGCCACTGCTGCTGCCGCCGCCGCCGCCGCTGCGGCTGCAGCTGCGGCGGCCTTCGCACCCTCACCTGCCACGTCAGCATCCCCGCCCCCAACCGCCACGTCAGCATCGTCATACAGGCCAATGGGGGACAAGAAGAGCAGCTCGCCAGACACTCTCCCAGACCGCCCGCATCCCTCCACACACAGGGATGCTAGCCCCTCCCTCTCTGGCTCTCCTGCTCCAACCACTACCCCGCTTCTCCCTCTGCTGCTGCCGCAGCCGCTGCTGCTGTCGGTACCGGTACCCGCTCCTGCCTCTCCTCCCCTGTCAGGCTTCCCCCCACGCATGAACCCCAACAGCCCCTTGACCTTCAGTCTGGGCCTATTCGGCGGCCCACTAGACATGGCTATGACCTCCTCCTCCTCCCCCTCAGGCTCCCCCCACCCCTCCCGCTCCTCCTCCTCCTCCTCCGCCTCCCTCTCCCTCTCCGGCCCCACCTCCCTCTCCCTCTCCCTCGGTCCTGCGTGCGCCTCTGCCAACACTCCAACCCCTGTCTCTCTCCCGTCCTCTCTCTCCGAATCCCAAGTCAGCTCCTCCTCCCCGCCCTCCTCCCTCGCTCCACAGCCCTACTCCCTTGCTGTTCCCGCCTCGCCTCGCACAAGCTTCCCCTACTCCATGCCGGCCTCTCCCTCCTCTCTTGTGGTGCGGGACGTGGATCATGCAAAGAAGCAGCTCCTATCCATGGCAGGGGAGGCGAAGGAGCGGATTGGCGGGCTCGAGCGCCAGCTGGCGGCGCGGGACGCAGACGTCGCCAGGCTGGAGGATGAGGTGGCGGCGCTGCGCGCTGAATCGGACCGGCGAGAGGCGGAGGTGGCAAGGCTGGTGGAGAGGTTAAAGGAGCAGGAGGAGAGATGGGCTGCTGCCTCTGCTGCTGCCGCTGCTGCTGCTGCCACTGGCACGAGCAGGGCATCAGGGGGAGGAGTGGGAGGTGCAAGCAGCAGCAGAGTAGGCCTAGCAGGCAGCCGGGTGGAAGACCAGAGGAGAAGGCTCGAGCAGCAGCCGCAGCAGCAGGTGATATCGAGAACGGTCATGCTGCAGAGGCAGCTGCAGGCAGCTGCTCCCCGGCCAGGCAGAGGTCCCCGGTGGCAGACCTTGGAGCGGCGCCTGGAGCAGAAAGATGAGGTGCTGGTTCGGCTCATGGGGATTGCCAAGGACCGGTGGCGGGAGGTTCGGCGCGAGGTTCGGCGCAAGGACAAGGTGATTGCAGAGCTGGCTGAAATGGTGGTTCGGGTCCAGGCTGAGAGGAGGTCCGGTGGTGGTAGTGGTGGTGGAGAGAGTGTGGGGGAGGGAGGGAGTGAGGGAGGGGATGGCACGGGGAGGAATAGCTTGGAGGAGGAAGTGAGGAAGTTGTTGGAGTTTGCACTGAGGCATGGGGAGGAGGTGGAGGGGGTTCTTACTAAGGAAGAGCAGAAGCTACAGGAGGTCTTTGAAGCAGCAGACATTGAGGGGCTGAAGTGGGGTGTAGATTCGGGGATAGTTATGTCGGGGGCTGGTAGCAGTAGTGGAGATGCAGGAGGCGTGTGCGTGGTGTCTGGTCAGGAAGGCAATGGTGAAGAGGTGACTAGTGTTACCAGTAGTAGGGTTGCTCACAGGACGGAGAAAGTGGCAATTGCTTCACAAAGAGGGGCAGGAGTGGCTAGACTGAGAGGAGATAGGAGCCTTACTGATGATCGTGTTAGGTTTAGGGGTCAAGGCTCAAGGCGTGCTGGTTTGGGAACCCAGCGCTAAAATAATCATTTTTTAGGGTGTAATGGTGCTGCTCCTAACCCCTTAAGACAACAGGTTCCTCATCTATAATCCTGCTAACTAGTTTATTGCTAACTGTATATTTTGTACCTCTACACTTCCAGCTAGATGGCGAGTCGCCGCAATTGCAGCTATGGGGTGTGACCGACAAGTCACGATGGAACGATTTCAAGGTTCGCGATTCGCTAGAGGCATATCATGGGCGCCGCGTTTCACGGCACAGAACTGAAATATGGAAAGTTCTGTCACCAGTATCTTTTTGTGGGTACATACACTTCGAACGCTTTTCTTAACACCCTTTATTTCTTCAGTAAGTATACACCAATATTGTGTCATTTGAAAATGTACACCAATATTGTGTCATTTGAAAATGTTGCGAGTTAGAAGTACACGATGGGCAGAAAAAACAAGCTGCCACATAGCATCCCCCGACCGCGATGCCCTGCCGCGTCGCGCAGGAATGCTCGTTCACACGCTCCCTGCTGCCCGCATCAAGTACTGTAGAAAGCAACGCCGCAGTGTACACAACCAACCACGAAGTAAGCAGCCAACTTCTCGGACAAATAAATTAGCCCCCTTTCGCCAAACATAGCACAGCGAGGGAGTGTGAGTAGCTGGTCAAAGAGACGCACGGCACAGTGACACAGCATCCTCTTATATTAAGTGGCTGAGATCATTTTTTTAGAGTCACTCCAGAAGAAATTACATCTGCTGCTTTCCTCAACCTCTCCCCATTCGTCCTCCAGCCTCCTACTGCCTATCCGAGCGTGCAGACATTATCAGCGCCGAAATCGCCAGGCTTCCCTTCAGCCATGGCGTTATCACTCCGTCTCCTCGCCGTGATCCTTGCTGTGAGCTCCATGGCGGTCGTCGGCGCGCAGCGAGTGGACGTGTCGTTCAACCAGAACTTCGTCTTCCCCTCGTGGTGCAAGCCGCCCTTCTGCACCAGCGCGCCTGACGGAAGCATCACCCTCGCCGTCACCCCCAAATCCGTCGGAGGTGAGCCTGCGACGTCCGACTGCGACAACGCCATGCGATAATAGCAGGTGTAGGCGGCTGGAACATGCGACGACATTATGCGTGATAAAGAGTCTCTAGGAAGACCGAAGCGTGAAATTGTTCTTTCCTCATGCCCAATGTTGACTTCAACTGCGTCACTCTTCTCTTATCACACTGTCCCTAACACCCTGCTAATCCCGCCTTCGAGGGGCTAAGTAAGAAAGGTTGTAAACCGGGTTGGTTGCCAACTTCCAAACAATCACTCTCCCCCACCCTTGCAGTCTTCGAGTCCAAGGGTGTGTACAGCTACGGCATCTACTCCGTGCGAATGAAGCTCCCCGCGGGCTACTCGGGCGGCATTATCCCGTGCATTTACCTCATCACGCCCGGCGCCTCGTCATACCAGTCGATCCACGACGAGATCGACCTCGAGTTCCTCGGCGGCACGGATCCGCGCAACATCACCATCCACACCAACCTCATCACGGGCGGCCAGGTCAAGCTGGAGCAGTTCCGCTTCCCTTTTGACCCGTCGGCGGCGTTTCACACGTACACGATCGTGTACTCACCGGATCGGGTGATGTGGCTGGTGGACAATACGCCCATCCGCATCACCAGCAGGACGCCAGGGAAGCCTTTCCCATCCGACAACGTCAAGATCATGGTGAGTTGGCACCTCCCATGGGAATCGGACGGCTGAAACCACGACGCGAGGATTCAGGTGCAGTAAACCCAAACGAATCAGGCTTCGCTGGTAATACCCTGCCGCCCTCCAAACGAAATTCAGCTCTACCCAAATGTGAAGTCTTCGTTAACCCTTTTTCTACGTTGTTTTTTTGTTTACATTTTTATTTCTTTCGAATTTTCCAGGGCTCCATTTGGGACGCGTCGTCGTGGAGCAAGCTCAAGCCCAGCTACGCGAACGGCCCGATCAAGGTGCAATACAGCCACTTCGACGTGCGTAGGACGTGCCGCGTGCCGCCCAGCGGCGCCGTTCCTCCCTGCAAGTCGTGGCGCAACGTCGCCCAGGCGCCGTGGATGGGGGTTCCAACGGCAGCCCAACTGGCGCGTTTTAGACAGTACCGGCAAAGGTTCCTTGTGGCTGACTACCCTTGGGGTCCTGCCAAGTGAGGACGGAAATACTAGAGCGTGGGTGGCAACATCGCTATTTCCCCTTCGGCGTCCTATCGGTGTAAACGTAGAGAGTGTGGGTGACCCGACGCTTCCTTGGGCGATACGCTTATTGGGGAAATGGTTCTAGGGCGACATGCTTGTTGGGGAATTGCTTCTAGGTCGACATGCTCCATTGCAATAATGAGTAGGGGGATACCGGGTGGAATCTGGGAATGCTTATTAATCATGACAACCTGCACAAATATTTCTTGGATTAGTTGAAAATAGATGTTAGATTTTGCAAGTGAGCATCTTTCCCTTAGCACATCATGCAGGGCTCAAATGTTCGGAGCCACTGTTTTTTTAATAGGGCTCGTTTCTCAAAATTTGCGATATTTGGAATTTTATGTCACGCATGAATTGGAGAACCGAAATAACAGGCTTTTAACTAGTTATATTCGCTTTAAGAACACGACATTTAAGTGCAAGCTTATGTAGTTCAATGGCCAACGTTCTTCCAACTCGGAGAGGAAATTCCGACGAAACTCATAACCACAAGACGTCGCTGTTTTCGCATCGCACATGCGACTCGCGATCGCCCTGACCGACCACTCCAAGCAGTGCTTTCCCAGCGCAACACATGTGCGAGGCGATTTCTTTCTGACCGACGGCGTTCGCAGGGGGCCTCAACGTGTCGCCGATCATCCGCCATCGCAGAATTTGACAAATGCATTCGGGATTGAATGCACGCGACTCGGGTCGCCCAAATGCCGCCAAGAGAATTGTGAGCGAGCAATTTGCACAATTATATCAACAAATCGCGCCACCAGGCCAAAACTCAGCCCAGCTGTGCTGTGTGTCCCCCTCTCCTCGTTCCCATCAACTTCCTGATCATACCTCCCCTTACCCTCCTCCCTGCCCTGCAATGTCATTCGACATTCACTTTGTCATGGGAATAGCACGCGTCACCTCAACGACATAAAGCATGAACGAACAGTCTTATTTTCCGTTAGATGCTGATCCTGCCGAAGTGAAATCCGGACGATCGATCACTAGCTTTTTTAGCAAGCCGGAGGACCGAAACCTGCTGCTAAATCATCTACTGGAATCGCCACTGAAAAACGATTTCTAGAAACCCGTTCTCACGCAAAGACACAGCTGGATTAACGTCAGCGCTCTCCCCTTCTCACATGAGGCGAGGCCCGTCGCCATCGATGGCAACTTCTAGAGGTCGTCTTCCGTTGTACCGGCAGCCATGCCGACGCTCCGCGCTTTTACGACTCCTTGCCGCGCTCCTCCCCACACTTGCGCTCCTCGCGCAATCCTCCGCCTTCCATTCTTCCGCCCGATCGCGGAAAGCCGCGCACTGGCCCGGCCGATCGCTTGCCGGCAACAACTTGGCGCGCCACACTGCCCCCAGACCAGAAGACGTGATACCCTCGGATTTCGGGGGTAGATTCAGGGATCCCCATGGGCCCCTCGCTACAATGGCGTCTGCGATCACCCCTCAGGATGTCGAGATCGCTCGCGCTGTTGTCACAGCTGAGGCTACGTCGTTTCAGTCAACGCGGTCAACACAAGCCAGCATCAGCAGCAGCAAGACTCCGAGCCCAACGAAGGTTCCGAGCAAGAGCCCAGGTTCGCCGGCCAATACCAAGAGCCCGCCAAAGGGCAAAAGTAATAAGAGCCCTCCTAAGAGCACTGGCAATAAAAGTCCGCCGAAGGGGGCGAACAGTAAGAGCCCACCTACAGCATCCAACAATAAAACCCCACCGAAGGCGAATGTCGGCAGTGCTTCAGCCCCGAAGCCCCCGCAACAGGCTTCCAAGTCCCCCCCGAAGCCGAACCCGCGCTCCCCGCCCGCTCAGAAGCCTCCCGCGCAGAATTCCCCGGCACCGCAACCTTCCGCTTCCCCCAAGAAGACTCCCCCCGGGAACCTTGAAACGACGCGGGCCGCAAGCGGAACGAGCGCGAGCGGAAGCACCGGGGCCAGCGGAAGCACGGGGGGAACAGGGGGAACTGTGTCGAGTGGCGGAACTGGTAGCAGTGCGGGAAATACCAGCGGGAGCAGTACTAGCAGTTCCGGGGCAACCGCGAGCAGCAGCAACAGCACGGGTTCATCGGGTAACACGAGCACCACGGGCAGCACAAAGAGCTCGGGCAGCAGCACGAACAGCACGGGCAGCACGGGCAGCACGGGCAGCAGCAGCTCCAACAGTACTGGAACTGGCAGCGGCAGCGGCGGTGGTAACTCGACCAGCGGCGCGAGAAGCGGGAGCAGCGGGGGAAATTCCACCAGCGGAACCGGGAGCGGGGGCGGAACCGGGAGCGGAGGCGGAACCGGGAGCGGAGGCGGAACCGGGAGCGGAGGCGGAACCGGGAGCGGAGGCGGAACCGGGAGCGGAGGCGGAACCGGGAGCGGAGGCGGAACCGGGAGCGGAGGCGGAACCGGGAGCGGAGGCGGAACCGGGAGCGGAGGCGGAACCGGGAGCGGAGGCGGAACCGGGAGCGGAGGCGGAACCGGGAGCGGAGGCGGAACCGGGAGCGGAGGCGGAACCGGAAGCGGAGGCGGAACTGGAACCGGGGGCGGAAGTGGCAATTCAACGGACAAGCCATTCGTGTGGACGATCCCGCCGCGCAGGAAGGTGCCGGGAGTGGATAAGTCGTTCGACAAGTACTTCAAGTTCCCCGACTGGTGCAAGGAGAGCAACTGCCGCAAGGACAACAACGGGACTGTCACGCTCTCCGCCACCAACCAGTCCGTTGGAGGTAGGTTCAGCGCGGTGCAATGCGGCGAGAGGTGCTTGTATCACTTCTGAGAGTGCCGGGAGTGGATAAGTCGTTCGACTTCTAGTTCCCCGACTGGTGCAAGGAGAGCAACTGCCGCAAGGACAGCAACGGGACTGTCACGCTCTCCGCCACCCACCAGTCCGTTGGAGGTAGATGCAGCGTGGTGCAATGGGGTGTGTAGTGCATTAAAGAATGAGGTCCAGCTCACCCCACCCCCTTTGCCCGCACTCTGAGCGCATCGTCTCATGCGATCCCCACCCCACTCCCCAACTGCGCATGCGCACACGACACCCCTGAGAGCTTTCAGTCGTCTCAAAGTCCCACTCCGCCATTTCAACATTTCCCCCACCCCCCATCCTCCTCAACCCCCCACCCCCCAACCTCCTCAACCCCCCACCCCCCACCAGTGTTGTACTCCACAGACTGCAACAAGTACGGGGTTGTCTACAGCCTGCTCACCCCGCCAGCCCGTCACCCCCTCAGCCTCTCACCCCTTCACACCCCCACACCCCCCATCCCCCCATCCCCACCAGTATTCTACTCCAAAGACTACTACAAGTACGGCGTGTACAGCCTGCGCATGAAGCTCACAAATCAACCCCTCTCATCCCCCACCCACAACCCCACACCCCCTCAACCCCAACTCTCCCACCAGTCCTCTACTCCAAGGACTATCACAAATACGGCGTGTACAGCCAGCTCCTCACCCCCTCAGCCTCTCACCCCTTTTCCCTCACCCCACCTCCTCATCCCCCCACCAGTGTTCTACTCCAAGGACTACTACAAGTATGGAGTCTACAGCCTGCGCATGAAGCTGCCGAGCAACTACTCGGGCGGCATCATCCCGTGCTTCTACCTCATCTCGCCGGGCCCACAAGGCTACACAGACATTCACGACGAGATCGACTTTGAGTTCATCGGCGGGGAGAACCCCATGGATATCACCATCCATACGAATTTGATCACAGGCGGGCAGGTCAAGCTGGAGCAGTTCAAATTCCCGTTCGACCCGGCCGCGGATTTCCACACGTACTCGCTAGTGTACTCTCCAATGTATATCATGTGGATGGTTGACGACTATCCGATACGGATCACCGTCAACGAGACCGGCCATCCGTTCCCAACGCTCCCCATGGAATTCAAGGTATGCCCTGCTACTTGCAGGATTTTTAAGTGAGCCAGTGTATTGTTATTGTTTTTTCCAGCATTTTATCCAGCCCCTGCCTGCCCTCCAGCTGTCCTAACCCTTAACAAACTTCCAACTCATACCTTCCTTTGACATCTGTGCCCCCTTTCGCAGGCTTCGATATGGGACTCCTCGTCGTGGAGCTGGCTCAAGGCGAACTACAGCAACGGCCCAATTCAAGCGCAGTACCGCGAGTTTGACTTCTCCCGCTCCTGCCAGATGCCTCAAGACCTCTCTGAACCGCCCTGTCTGCGCCTTCGCTCGTCCAAGCATGCCCCGTGGCTGTCCAAAATGACTCTGCCACAGCTCAGAAAGGAGAGGGCGTTTAAAAAAGTTTTACACCAAGAAGATTTACGACTGGTCTGAGGCCAAGTGAGGAGGGATGACTAATCCATTTTTGGCCTACTCTTCGACCGAGGCCAAGCAAGTGCAGGCATGGGGCAGCCTTGCGGAAGGCACTGATTTCTGTGCTGGCCTGGGGCTCATATACTTGTGGCTGCTTGTGGCTGCAGTGGGCACAAATAGCAATAGCTCAACATTTTGTGGGATGGGGGGAGCCTGGGTGGGGATGCTTAAGCTATGCTGTGAAGAGATGTTTATCCCATCGGCTCGATGGACGACATTTATGTTTTTTTTTGTTTTTTTTTTTGCAATAATAAGGGCCTACAACATCGAGGTTAGTGGCTCAAATGCTTCAAAAATATGAAATCAAGAGTTGGGAGAGTAAGAATCTGAGTAGTGTTGACCCAAGAGTACATTGTAATCGTTGCTTTTATCGCATTAAGCTTTAATTTTGCTGCCACTCCATTCCTCTCTAACGATGACGCGTACATGTCGTCACCTCGGAACATTACCACGTCACCACGCTCTCCCTGTCAAAACAAGATCCCCCGACCCATTGGCCTGCGAGAGAGGATAGAACATACATCTTCTATCTAGTCGATTCACTCTCCGAGTGTATTTTTCTGTACTGACCCTGCTGTCCGACTGTCGTCGTGCGCGACCATACCCTTCCCCCACACCCACCCACACGCGCACTCAACGGCACACAGCATCGCTGCATAGCCGTCGCTCGCGCCTCGCTCCCCCCTCGCGCGCCTCTAACATCGTCCACGCCTCTCCTCCCGCCTCCCCTTCGCGCGCCGCCCCACGCCGCCCCAGGCTCCCCACACCACCACCACCACCACCGGCGCCGCTGCATACTCACGTCTCACGCTCCACGCGCGCCGACCCTCGTCGCGCTCCTGCGCGTAGCGTCCATGGCCTCGTCACGCATCTCGCTCCAAGCGCGCCGATCCTGCTCTCTCACGCGCGCGCTTACATCGAGACACGGTCTATGGACGCCCCACGCACCCTTCGCTTTATGCACATCCGCGTTAAGCACGCCATTCGCGAGCACACCTTGCGCCAGCAGCGCAAACGGCGGGGCTCATTCCCGTAGCTACTCCTCTGCTGGTGACGTGGCGGATGCTGACGTGTCACCGGGGGAACAGGCGGGGCGGAAGGCGGCGGCGGAGCTGCAGGTGCTGGGGGTGGTGGGCGCGGGGCAGATGGGGAGCGGAATCGCGCAGCTGGGAGGTGCGCGTGGGGCGGGCATTTGGGGCGAAATGGGAGGGGGGGAGCGGGAGTGAGAGCGGCGCGGGGATGTGCGTGGTGGTGGAGGACGTGAGTGCGACGGCGCTGCCCGCAGGCCTCTTGCAATGAATCCTGCTCAATCCGCATCCCCTCCATCCATCCCCCTCTCGCTCCCGCTCCCCTGTCCCTCCACGGCAGCCATGGCGGGGATGCGAGTGGTGGTGGCGGACACGAGTCGAGCAGCACTGGATGCATGTATGGCCGGCATCAAGCACTCCCCTCCCCCCTCCCCCTCCCCCTTCCCTCCTTCCCCCGTCCCCCCTTCCCCCCCTCCGCTACCCCTCCCCCCACGGCAGCCATGGCGGGGATGCGAGTGGTGGTGGCGGACACGAGTCTAGCAGCGCTGGATCACTGCATCGGCGGCATCAAGCACTCCCTGGGGCGCCTTGTTAGCAAGGGGCGACTTGATGAGGTTGGTGGGTTGTGGGGAGGGGAATGGGAGGGAGGCAGGGGGACATGGGGACATGGGGCATGTCTGCATGCATGGGCGGGCCCTGGGGCCCCTTGTTAGCAAAGGGGCGGTTGGATGAGGTGGGTGGGCAGGGGGAAGGCAGGGGGAAGGCAGGGGGGAAGGCAGGGGGACATGGGGTCGTGGATGGCCGGCATGAAGCACTCGCTGGGGCGCCTGCACACCACCCCAGAGCTGACTCCTTTGGAGCAGTCAGGCTTGGTTGTGGAGGCCGTGGCGGAGAGGAGAGGAGAGCAAGGCAGTGAAGCGCATTCTCATATGTGAACCCCGCCCTCCACGCCCCTTCTTTCTTCTGCCTCACAGGCAGCACCACCAGCGGCAACACTAACCCGGATTCGCACCACCCCAGAGCCGAGTCCGTTGGAGCAGGCAGACTTGTTTGTGGAGGCCAGCAGCCCCAGCGAGCCATGGGGGAGAGCGAGCCATGGGGGAGAGCGAGCGGTGGCAGTGAGAGACAGTGCGGTGGTGAAACACGTTCTTCCCTTCCAACAGCTCTCATATGTGAACGCCCAAAAGTTCTCATACGTGAGCGCCCTCATACGTGAACCCCGTTTGCCACGCCCCTGCTTTCGTCTTTCGCCCAGGCAGCAGCAGCGGCAACACTAACCCGAATCCGGACCACCCCAGAGCTGACCCCTCTGGAGCGAGCAGACTTGCTAGTAGAGACCGTGGCAGAGAGCGAGGCGGTGAAGCCTCGTGCAGCCTACCTCAATGCAGCCCACACCCCATCCCCCACGCCGCATCCCCCACGCCCCTTTCCCAGGCAGCAGCAGCGGCAACACTAACCCGGATCCGCACAACCCCAGAGCTGACTCCTTTGGAGCAGGCAGACTTTATAGTTGAGGCGGTAGCAGAGAGCGAGGCGGTGAAGCGCAACGTGATTGGCCGGCTGGACGGCATCGCCCCGCACCACGCGGTGCTCGCGAGCAACACCTCCTCCATCTCCATCACCCGCCTTGCTGCTGCCACTAGCCGACCCGATCAGGTGAGTCAGGGCGCATGAGAGACAGGCGGTGTGATGAGCCGGCTGGACGGCATCGCCCCACACCGCGCTGTGCTGGCGAGCAACACGTCTTCCATCTCCATCACCCGCCTTGCTGCCGCCACTAGCCGACCCGATCAGGTGAGCTGTCTATCACCCTGCCTGCCCCGCACCCCCAACATTGCAGCATTGCCCCGCACCACGCTGTGCTGCCCAGCAACACTTCCTCCATCTCAATCACCCACCTTGCCGCTGCCACCAGCCGACCCGATCAGGTGAGCGAGGGCCGCCACCGCACTGTGCTGGTGAGTTAGGTGAGTCAGCCTCAGGTGATGAGCCGGGTGGACGGCATCGCCCCGCACCTCATTTTGTTTGAGGTTGGTTTTGAGAACTCTTAAAATCAACCGTGCTGGTGAGTAGGTGAGTTAGCCTCAGGTAGTGAGCCGCCTGGATTGCATCGCCCCACACTAGGCAGCGCTGGCGAGCAACACGTCGTCCATCTCCATCACCCGCCTTGCTGCTGCCACCAGTCGACCTGATCAGGTGAGGTGAGCAGGTCAGCAGCTTATCACCCCACCTGCCCCGCTCCACACTTAGATGGCTCATGCCACATGTCCCCTTCCAACCCCCCCCACATTCCAATGCCCTTCCCGCCAATGCCATTCCAATGCCCTTCCAATGCCCATTCCAATTCAGGTGATCGGCATGCATTTCCTGAACCCACCTGTCATCATGTCGCTCATTGAGGTGGTGCGGC